ATTATTACTCAATAAAAATACAACACAAATCACTTCTTATCACAAACTCAAAAAGTGAAAAATAATTCAATGATCAAATAAGAGTTTGAAATGCTATTTTTCATAATTTTCAATTTGTAGCACATAGCATAATATGCATGAGAAAATATTGTTTTATGCTCTTTGTTCTATCAAGAATTGATGCGACACATAACATTATCAAGAGGCATTTTCATCAATTTAATCCACATACTCAAGTGTGATAAAACATTTTACTTAATGTGGAACACAACATGAATGTTATAAGCAATTAATTCAACAATTTATCAATCAAAAGCATTTCATGAGATGTATGCCAATATAATCCATATTCAAAAGATATTCAATAGGATAGATGCAATATTTCTACAAACGTATGATACTTCTTTTCATTTAGACATTGTTGATGAATCATAATCAAGGAATTTCACAACTCATTCAAATATTCCAATGTAGAGCATATAAGCATGAAATTTTCATATTGAGCATATTCTTGAGATCACAAATGTAGAATTCAAAATATAGATAGTATACATCTCAAAAACATGCTATGACATCAAAATTGATTCTACAAAGATATGACTCAAAAATGAATTAACATATTAGTATGAAGTCATATATAAGATGTGAAAGTATGCTCACAAAAAAATTTATCACTTCTTATCTCTTTTTCATAGCAATGGATGACATGATATACAACGTTAATGAATACATAAATCATTCATATTCTAATAGGAATTCATCAAAATAATATAATTCTCATTTTTGAGTTCAATGAATGTTTGAAAGAAACTAGTAGAATATGACTTAGCAAACTTAGTACAATTAAGTTACATGGAAGCAATGATTAGACACAACCTATTGTACAGAAATCACACCTTAAAGAATATAGAACTTTAAGCTTAAAGGTGTGTTAGGAGTTATACCTTCATTTACCTCTTTGGAATCTTCACCCATATATTACCTCTATTGTTTATCTTGGTGATTTTCATTTCATCATTCTTCTTCTTGTAGGAGCTGGTTTTACTCTTTAGATTGAACACTCTTTTTGTGCATTTCCTCTCGAAGTCCTTGGTGTTCTTTGAGATTCCACCTACAAAATATCTTGATTTCTTTCTTTGTACCCATACTTTCTTGGGTCTATAGGGATTAGTCTCAAGAATATTTAATCTCATAAAAGGTTTAGGAGGATCAAAACCAATGCCTACTTTGTCAAAAACACATTTTTTATTTCCAAGAAGCTTGTTGAGGTTTTCTTTTCCTTTTACAAAATTTTCAAGAGTTTTGTTTAAATCCTCAACATTGTTTTTCAAAATGTTTTTCTCATTGGCAATAAACGTAAAGTCATTTTTTAAAGTAGTATTTTCCATTTTTAAAACATCCACATCATTTGAAAGAAAAGTAACTAATTTTTTTAATTTAGAATTCTCAAAATAAACATTTCTAAATATGTCATGTAATTCATTGAAAGCACTTTCAAGTTCTACATAATTAGAAATTACCTCATCTTGAGTGAATTCTTCTTCTCCAAGAGCCATGAGACACAGGTTGGCTACTCCATCATTTTCTCCCCAAATGCCTTCCTTTTTGCTGTCATCCACCATTGAAAGTTCATGAGCCATGAATGAGCCTAGGAGTTCTTTAATGCCTAATTTTGTTAGGTTTTTTGCTTTTTAGATAGCTGTAACCTTAGCTTCCTCTTCATTTGGCAAAGACCTAAGTATTTTTCTTACAAGCTCATCATTAGTATAAGATTTACCAAGAGATTTTAGAGCATTAATAATATTGGTAAATTTATAAAATATCTCATAAATAGATTCAAATGATTCCATAGTAAAGAGTTCATAATCATGAATAAGCATGTCAATTCGAGACTCTTTTATTTGGCTAGTTGCTTCATAGGTGATTTCAAGTTTATCCCAAATCTCTTTAGCAGTAATACTATTGTACTCATAGGTAATTCTATTGTACTCATTTACATCTAGTCCATACACAAGAATAAGCTTGGCTTTAGCATTAGTTTGAAGGAGTTTATAATCACGCTCATCAAATTCATCCTCAAGTTTAGGCACACTGATATGGTCTACTACCTTCGTAGGGATTTTAGGACCTTTAGTGATAATGAGCCACAAAGCATAATTGGCAGCTTGAATATACAAAGTCATTTTTTCTTTTCAATGAATGTAATTACTACCATAAAAGAGAGGTGGCCTATTGCTAGCTTGTCCTACAGCAGAGTAAGTAGAATACATGGTTGCTATGGATCAAAAACTCAAGATTGTTAAATCTAAACAAGAGCCCCAGGCTCTGATACCAATTGTTACCCAAAAAGCAACCTAAGAGGGGGGGTGAATTAGGTTTTCACAAAATAAAATTAATAATACCCCAATAAAATTAACTACTAGTACAACAAATTATTAACAAGCACAATGATGAACTTAGCAGTAAATGATCAAGCAAAATAACAATGAAGTATAACTAACATACAGGGTAAATCAAATGATTAACACATGAATATTAGATAGCTATAGCAGTAGTAGGAAAGTAAAGAGATTAGGGAAAATGAGATAAACAGATTTATAGTGGTTCAGTTTCAACCAAGCCTACATTCACTCCTCAAGCTTCACTTGAGATTTTCCACTATCTTCTAGCTTCATAGGGGTGCTAGTAACCTCTTTACAAATGGAGCAATCCTCTACGGATTTTACACAGACTTCACAAGCCCAAACCCTTGCAAATCTTAGGTGATTCACAATCACTCTCAAAATTTTAAGAACACAGTGTTTACAACACTTTTACAAGATGAAATGGTATTTTTGCTTTCAAAGAAAGCTTACAATAAATATCTCTCAAAGATAGATATATAAAATGGAGCTTTGATGTTTCTGTAAATCTCACACAGAAAAGATGTGCTTAATGCTATAAGGCTCAGTGTATAATTTATGAGAAAAGATGTGAGTGATTATAGATCAAAGAATGTTTTCAAGTTTTTTGTAACTTGTTTATATTAGAGGCTTTGGTATATATAATGAAAATTATAGCCGTTGTATTCCGTTGTATTCATTTGAATTTATAACCGTTTATAGCCGTTGTAGTCATTTGTGTGTAAGGAAAAATTAGAATTGAGAGTTTTGCAGCCGTACTTTTTGACTTTTGGTGAATAGTGATAATTTTTTAATTTTTTGAGTAATTTTTTAATTTTTTAGAGACATGTCAAACTTGACCTAAATATTGGGTTGCATTTACGTGGCTACTTCACTCATCGCTCTTCGGTTTTGGGTTTTTGTCTCACATTATTTTTTTAAATCACTCAAGTTCAATTCATATAATTTAGAGGCTACTCTATATGTTGTTAATTGGTTTTAAGTTAGATGAAAATGAACCAACTATTTTAGGATGATATAAAGTTTTTTTATTTGAAATTTTTGCATCTTAAAATTACGAGTAATGTTAGGAATTATAAAAAAAAATATTATGAAAATAATTATGAAAGATTTTTCACATTTGAAT